AGAGCTACCGACTTATTTCACAAAATTTTATTCACACTTCAAGCCAAATTTAGATTATTCTTAATTTTTTCAACTCCAAATTTTGTATATATACTTAGTATACAATTGTTGTAACCAATCATACTCGTCATTCATGTGTTGTCGCATCATTTGTCTATCTAGACGAGACCGATTTTGCTCCATACAATTATAGTTAATTATATAGTTGAAATATTAAGAAACTTGTAGTTAAATTTTATAAACGTTATAGGAAGTACTTAAAATCTCCTTAATTACCCTTAATGTGTCAAAGGATCTCCAAACGTTACAGAAAGTAATTAATATCTCCTTGCCCCCACTATTATGTAAAGGCTATCAAAATGTTACAGAGAGTAATTAAAATCTCCTTACATACAATATGTCAAAAGGATCTCCAATAAATATTCAAGATTAGGATATCTAATCAACCCATAAAATCAAGAAGCTTATACATTAATCAATTTTATAAACATTATAGGAAAGTACTTAAAATTTTCTAAAACTCTATATGTCAAACGTTACAGGAAGTACTTAAAATCTTCTTACACCCAATATGTCAAAAGATCTCCAATAAATATTCAAAATTAGAAAAGCTAATCAACCCATAAAATAAGCACCAAAATAGCGCAGAAATTAATGACTTATAAATCAAAACCTCCACTTATACCACTTCACTTATATAGAAAAAGCACCCTCCCACAAAAAGAAAAAAAAAATCTGGCTATTACACTAAGGATGTGTTTGATAAGAGAAAAATATTTTTATATTATTTAATTGGTCAAAATGCTTTGAAAAATATTTTGAATAAAAAAACAAACTTTTTATTAATAAGAATAATGATTTCCTTATTAAAAAACATTTCAAGTTCATTGTCTTCTCCCACCTATCTAACACCCCTGATAATTCCATGTTCGCCACCCACTACAAACTTAAATATAAATGTTTTAAGATAATATATTTTTATTTACTTACCATTTTTTCAAGAAAATATTACCAAAAAACACACCGTAAATCTTTCCTTTTTTTTTTTTGCAAAACAATTACCCTAAATCCACTGCGACAAAACTTCTTTTTCCCAACTCCACAAAAATCGGTCCACGCCATCAATATTACACGTGTCAAAATCCATATGGGTCACACATATCCATTTAGTAAAAAAGAATTGTTTTATTACCACTTTTTCATGACCCATTTTTCCAAACTTGCCGATGAAGAAGATGAAATCAGAATCGTTGACTTTATTGCTAGTCAACCTCGCCGGAATAATGGAACGCGCCGACGAGTCGTTATTGCCCGGAGTTTACAAAGAAGTTGGTAAAGCTTTGCATACTGATCCTACTGGACTTGGTTCTCTCACTCTTTTTAGATCTATAGTTCAATGTCTTTGTTACCCTCTTGCTGCTTATCTCTCCGGCCGTCAAAATCGAACTCATGTTATTGCTCTTGGTGCTTTTCTCTGGTCTGCTGCTACCTTTCTTGTAGCCATTTCTTCCACTTTTACTCAGGTTAAATTACTCTCTCTTCATCTATTCTACATTTGTATAATATGTCATTTCATATTATCGTATTAAGTATGTTACGTGGAAAGTAGAAATTAAAAAATTACTAAAAACATTAAAGGATCGTTCTTTTTTAAACGGATTAAAAAGGGAATTATGTCAAATAAATTGAAATGGACGGAGTACGAAACTTAATATTAAGGGGAATGTATAAAGTTTAGTTCTTGGTGTCCCCTGTTTTTGTTAGGATCCAGGAGACAAAGTTATTGAATGAGAAAGATTGCACCTTTAATTGGAAATTGGAATTAAGAATTTGCTAATATGTGATTTTGAATTTTTTTTCAACCATTCTTAGTTATCAAGTCAAATTTCGGATTGCCATGAAAATTTCACTTTTTCCCGGAGTTGAACTTCAGTTCAGCTTTGATGGGGCAAACAGAGTTTGATAATGTAAAGAAAACAATTCCCTTAGTTTCTATTTATGTAATCCGGTGTCATTTTAAGTCAGTTTTGAACTTGGAAGTTCAAAGTAAATTTGAACCCCGTGAACCAGCGAGCAACCTCTTGTCTTATGTTTAGGAGATTCAAAAAAAATATATATATAAAGAATTACCTAAAAAAATTTACCTTATAGAGTAGAATTTCTTGTTGAGGGGTTTCAGGTGAACTGAACCCCCTATATCCGCACCTGTTTGGCATGTTTAAGACCACAAATTTCAAAAGTGTTTTAGCAGCACAAATAATATGACATGTTTAAAATCACAAGTTGAGGTAAGTCTTTCTTTCTTAAACTTTGTGTTCACCAAACGAGTTCACGGCAAATGAAACACATGGAGTATTAGTCTTTTTGTTCTAGATTATAAAAGGAATTACTCTGTCTTGTTTGCCTTTGAAGTCTTAAACAAAGGAATTTCCTAGTTCTTTCAGTCTGCAATATTCTTACAATTTGACTGTACTCTTAAGGCATTTCAGGATGAATATATTCTTTAAATAATAAGGTCTATGATTACTGTTTAGCAAAACTCACATTCTTCAATAGGTTGCCATTTCCAGAGGTTTGAATGGAATAGGACTCGCGATAGTTGGACCAGCAATCCAATCTCTAGTAGCTGATTCAACAGATGAAAGCAACCGCGGTATTGCTTTTGGTTGGCTACAGTTAACAGGAAACTTTGGCTCTATCCTTGGTGGGCTTATATCGGTTTTACTAGCTGAAACATCATTCATGGGAATCCCTGGCTGGAGAATCTCCTTCCATCTGGTAGGTTTTATTAGTATTGTAGTTGGTATATTGGTGCGTCTTTTCGCCAAAGATCCTCGCTTTATTGACAACTATGGCAATGTAAAAGAGCAACCTCCCCAAAAACCATTTAGAGAAGAAGTAAGGGAGTTGCTAAAAGAAGCAAGAGCAGTTGTGAAAGTACCTTCTTTTCAAATACTTGTTGCTCAGGGAGTGTCGGGGTCGTTCCCTTGGTCATCATTGTCATTTACACCTATGTGGTTGGAGCTTATTGGATTCTCCCACAAGACAACAGCATTGCTCTTGACGTTGTTTAATGTTGCACTCTCAATTGGTGGATTGTTTGGAGGAAAAATGGGAGATGTCCTTGCAAAACACTTGCCGAATTCTGGTAGAATAATTCTATCTCAGATAAGTTCTGGCTCAGCGATCCCCTTAGCTGCAATTTTGCTTCTCGGATTGCCTGATGATCCTTCCACAGCTGCAATCCATGGTTTAGTCTTGTTCATCATGGGATTAACAATATCTTGGAATGGTCCAGCAACAAACAAGTATGTTTCCTTTGAACCACTATATCATTCATCTTTATCTGGATTTTCTTGCATATATCCTTCTGTCTAACTTAACCAACGACAGAAAAGCTAAAACCGTAAAATAGAAGGACCATGTAATCAAGAATTACGAAACATAATCTGTTTCATGCTTAAGTTCTAAGGAAGTTTTAATGCCCAAATGGAATAGCTGACATACAAGTGACATGGGATTTTTCTGTTTCCTTAGTGTTGCCGCTTGTTTACTAATTTTACTTGTTTCTTCATATCAAGTAATCTCTAATTTTGCTCCATATATCAAAATCTCATTCAAGTAAGGGTCCTATGTTGCTGGCTGATTCAATTAAAATATTCACAACATGACATGCTTGCAGTCCAATTTTTGCGGAGATAGTTCCTGAGAGAGCTCGAACAAGCATCTATGCTCTGGATCGATCATTTGAGTCTATACTGGCATCATTTGCTCCTCCAGTGGTTGGTATTTTGGCTCAACACGTTTATGGTTTTAAACCAATCCCTAAAGACTCAACGGGCTCACAGGAAATTGAAACAGATAGAGAGAATGCAGCCCCACTTGCCAAGGCACTCTACACTGCTATAGGCATTCCAATAACAATTTGTTGCTTCATCTATTCATTCCTTTATTGTACATATCCACGTGACAGGGACCGTGCTAAAATGGATGCATTAATAGATACAGAGTTGCAACGGATGGATGAAATAGGTTACCATCCTTCCGATGAAGAAAATGACGAACTTCAATATTTTTCCGAATCTGATGAACTTCACAAAAAAGAACTCACCATGATTGATATAGATTACAAGGTAGATGAAAGGCTTGACAACGACGAGAAAAGGCTTCTTCCAGATCAGTTGTAATCCTCTGAACTTTGCAGATAGTAGAGCAAATGCAACTAGGGTGTGCAAAAATTGAACCGACCAATAAACCGAACCGAAAAAAGTGTTATTGGGTTAATGGTTATTTAATGGTTTTATAAAAAAAATTATTGGATTATCGGTTCGATATTGGTTTATTAATATTGGGTTAATGGATTAGCCGATAACCCATTAAAAATATAATAATTTACTATTTTAATTTTTAGTCATACATAAATATCAAACAAACACTACAACATTTTATGTCTACAACCACCCTAGAAAAGTGTGGCCTAAACTATGAAAAAGTGTGGCCTTTGATAAAAAGGCCACACTTTTTGACTTAAAGCAACACTTTTCCAGGGGTGGCCGAAAGAAGCGTAACCTTAGTGTTTAGGCAACACTTTTCACCAGTTACGCTTAAAAGCGTAGCCTAAAAGGCAAAAAGGCCACGCTTTCCAGTACCTCATATAGCAACATTTCTATCTCATACAACTACACTTTCAAGTGTGGCCTTTGTTTCCTTATTGCCCACGATTTTAAAGTGTTGTCTTTTCTATCTAATGTATGACAACACTTTGAAGTGTAGTCCTTGCCCATGTGCATACCACAATTTACAGTCCTATGGCTACACTTTTAAGTGTTGTAATATCATTTTGGGTATACAATATTTATATGCCACAATTTCTAATTAAAAAACACCAATATTGTTTTGCAATAAATAATCTCAAGCATTAAATTGGCTAATAAGTAATTCAAATATATAGATTTGCAATAAACTTCAAAAGATAGTACATCTTGTGTACTTAGACATACTTATAAAGCAATATTCTAAATATGTGTACACAATTGTTCAAAAGTACTCTTACAATAAGTTCAATATATTCTAGCAAAGAATATATTTCACAAAATCACACATAATGTATTCAAACTTTTACAATAGTTCAAAAACTCTTCATCATCCACTTCAATGAGATCAAATTGACTTGTAGCGACCCTTCAAATTTGATCACTCCATTTTCCTACACATTTAGAATTTACAACAAATCAGATTGCAGCAGTTATAGAAGAGGCAAGAAGTTCCAGATTCCAGATTGCACAGCAGTTCCAGAATACAGACTGCAAATCTTTTGAGTTCCAAATTGCAGATTTCAATTCCAGTTTGCAGATTTATTGAGCTCTAGATTGCAGATTACAGTTCCAGTTTGCAGATTTATTGAGTTTCAGATTGCATATTACAGTTTAGATATACTAATACATATTGACATAATTAAAACAGAGAAAGGTACTAGAAAGGTTCCAGATTCTAGATTTCAGTTCCAGATTCTAGATTTCCATCACAGATTCCAAATTTCAATTTCAGTTTGCAGATTTATTGAGTTACAACATTAATCATTTCTACTTTATTTTGAGCCAAATTAAAACCAAAAAGGTACCAGAAAAAGAACAGAAATTAAACAAGATATTGAGAACTTGAAGTTGTGGAACACTAGTTTGTGGTCTTGTAAGTGTCAGTAATTCACATGAAACCAATAACACCATTCAACTCTTTTATTTTCAATAATAAAGCAAATGACACATTCAAATAGTACAAAATCAGAAACCATGTAGTCTATAAAGGAAACCGATTTTGGCAAATCTTTTCACAAAGAAGTCTTCGGATGAATAATATTAGATCTCATGATAAGTTTTTTCCTCCTAACTATATATTCATTTCCTTGCGACTCAAATTTACTACCAGCCCATGGTTTCTAATCAACCAATGCCCGACCATTCTTGCAACTCAAATTCACTACCAGTCCATGATTTCTAATCAACCAATCTGGAAACCCAATGCAAATGTAGAATTCACTTACTCATCTTCTTGGGATCAGATTAGAGAGAAAAGAAACCAGCTCACAATTTTGGTTAACAGCATTTCAAGTGTTTCTGCTGCTATAAACAAAAAAAGACACCATTGATCACAATTTTGTGGCAGGGCACTTTGCTACAAATATCTAAAATATTTATGTTGATTCTCTAGTGATTGACAGTGATTATAAACCTCTTAGAAATATGATTATTAGATGGTGGATTACTAAGGATAACAATGATGCTCACAGGTAGGGCTGGCAAGGGGACGGGGACGGGGACTGGGGGACGGGACGAAGGGGGACGGGACGGGACGGGGGACGGGGCTGGGGGGATTTTGCCGGGACCGGGATTGGGGGGACAAAAATAAGTC